CTCTCCTCTCTTCTCCTTCCCTCCCTCTCTTCCTTCCTTCTTTTCTTTCATCTCACTATGTAATTCAGACTGGCCTTAAACCTATTTATGTAGCCCAGGCTGGCCTCAAACTCACAGCGATCTTCCTGCCTCTGCTTCCAATGCCTGGCACAAGAACAGAACCTTAAAAGCTGTTAGAGAAAAGCAACAAATCACTTGTAAAGGTAAACCCAGCAGAGTCATAGCACACTTTACAACACAAACCTTAAAAGCCAGGAGAAGGGCCAGTGGGATAGCTTAGCAGACTAGGTGCCTGCTTTGGAAAGCACAGGGACCAGGGTTCAATCACTGGTCCCGCATGCCATGCCAGCCCTATCCCTGGGGTGCACTGAGCGGGCGACTGAGTCCCAGCATGGTGGTACACGCCTATAATCCCAGCACTGGGGAGGCTGAAAACAGAAGGATCACTACAAGTCTGAACAGCGTAGTGAGATCCTGTACAAAAACACAAAATTAAAAAAATAAATATGCAATTTTATTTCCCCCTTTTTTTTCTGCAAAAATAGAGATAGAACTCAGGGTCTTACATATGCTAGGCAAGTGCTCCACCACTGAGCTACACCCCCAGCTACAACCCCATTTTAACTTTTGTCGATACAGGGTCTTGCTAAACTTCCCAGACTCCTCTGAAATTTGAAATGCTCCTGTCTCAGTCTCTTCCATAGCTGGAATGACAGATATACAGCACAGGGGCCAGGGATGTAGCTCCGCAGCACAACTGCCTGCCTGGCAGACACAAGGTCTTGAGTATGATTCGGGGGGCGTGGGAGAGAGAGAGAGAGAGAGAGAGAGAGAGAGAGAGAGAGAGAGAGAGACTGTGATGGAGCACAATATCCAGTGTCTCATGTATCAATTATTTTTAATGTATTTGGTACAGGGTCTCACTGTGCAGCTCAGACTCGGAGTGATCCTTCTGTTTCCAGCCTCCCCAGTGCTGGGATTACAGACGGGTGTCAGCAGGCAGGCACTTAGTCCACAGTGGCCCTTTCATGTATCAATTTTTAAAGACCAACAAATTAACAAAAAATATACAAAGAATACGAATCGTCAGTTTGCAGAAAAGGAAATGCAAATGACTCTTACACATGTGAAAAAACAGATCCACTCATAACTAGAGAAAAGCAAATTCTCTAATGCAAATTGCCAGGGGACATCTTGGTTTCTAAATATATCATCCAATTAAAAGAACTAGAGTTTCATAGGAAAACAGCTGACTCTAGGGCTAGATTGGGGAGAATACAAAATAAACCTTATAGTGCTGCCAACTAAAGAAATGGAAAAACTGAAGATAGGGTAGATCAGATCCGCGCACACCCCCTTGTGTAGGTAAGAAGCTTGGAGTGAAGGGGCTCCTAATGGCTCCTAATGGCCAAAGCAGAGGAATTTTACCAACAAAATAGTGCAAGAGCACTTAACTATAATCCAAAGAATAAAACAAATACATGGAAGAGAAGGGAAAATCTTCCTTACAGGAGCATTTTGAAAAAAAAAAAAAAAAAAAAAAGAGCCAACAAGGTACATGGCATAGAACTATAATCCCAGGACTCCGGGAGGCTGAGGCAGGAACATGGCAAGTTTGAGCCCAGGCTGGGCAACCAAGAAACTTAGCAAGATCCTGTCTCAAAAAAATAAAAAATAGAGCAACGCTGTTTCATAGCAGATTCCACCCTGGCTGAGCAGCTCTGGGTGGGACCCTGGCCATAATGAGGTCCCAAGGAACCTCAGCTCTTGCTGGAGGGCAGGGACAGTGGCACCCCTGTCACTAGGGATCCAGGCACCTTGCAGTGCCTCTAGTCCTGACATCCTATTTTGCTTTCTTTCATCACCCTTCTTGCAACTGAGATATAATTTGCATAAAATGATCGGTTTAAATGTACAGTTTAATGTGTTTTGACTCCTTTATGTCCCTGTGTAACCACAACCTCTGTCAGAGCAGAAAATACCCCAGCATGCTAGGCTGCTGTCTCCTTCCCCCACCCCAGGCAGACACTGATCTGACCCATCACTGTTGCTTACTTCTTTCTGCCTGTTAAAGCAGAGAAAAGGATATGTATCCCTTTGCATCTGGCTTCCCTCATTCATCAAAATCCATCTATTCTGTGGTGTTTATCAATGGCCCATCCTTTTTCTCTGCTGAGTAGTATTCCACTATGTGGCTCTCCCCTGGTTTATTCCTTCACCTATTGATGGACTGGTGGTGGTTTCCAGTCCGGGTTATTAACAGAACAGCTGCTACAATACAGGTCTTTGTACAGGTGGGTGTTTTGACTTCTATCAGATAAATAACCCATGACTGGGGGCCAGGGAGATGGCTCAGTGGAATAAGTGCTTCCCTGGCAAGTGCAAGGGTCTGAGTTCAATCCCCGGTTCTGCCAAAAAACAAAAAAAAAAAAAAAGGGCTGGGGAGATGGCTCAGTAGAATAAGCGCTTCCCTGGCAAGTGCAAGGGCCTGAGTTCAATCCCAAGTCCTGCCAAAAAAAGAAAGTAAGAAAAAAAAAAATAACCCATGGCTGGGTTATACAGAAAGCTTAGGGAACTCCTGAAGAAACTGCCCAGCTACTTTCTAGCATGCTGGAATCACAAACACCCTAAGCCTGAGCAAGTTCCCACACTCTGCACCAGCCCTTTGTCCTTTCAAGCAGCTTCACTGAGTGCGAAGGCCTAAGGGTGCTAAACGGCTTCTGATGTTTTTGTCAGACATTTATGTATCTCCTTTGGTGAATTGCCTGTTCAAATCTTTAGGCTTTTTTTGGCGGTACCGGGGATTGAACTCAAGACCTTGCACTTGCCCGGCAAGCACTTATTCTGTCTCCCCAGCCCATCTTTAACCCATTTTAAAAACTATGTTGTTTCCTTTTTACTGAGCTGCAGTTCAGAGACATATTTTCAATAAATCAGAACCTGGCCTTCCCCTCTTAGAACATTTACCCAGCCCCCTCCCAGGGGCTGGGAGTAAAATCCAAATGCCAGGGTCTGCCCCTCCCCCACGCCCATCCCGCGCCCCTCCCTCTGTCCTCCTCCTTCCTTGGATTCCGCCTGGCTGTCCTGAAGACCAGTCGGATCCTTACCAGGAATCATCTCTGATGATTCCTTGAACTCCCTAAGAGCTTGCTGCCTTGGCCTACCCGCTCCAGGCACAGCCAGGCTTCCAGGCACCTGACTTGCAGCTGTACTGGCCAATGCACGCTGCTGGGAAAGGCTTCTCCGAGGAAATGGCCCTGTATCACTGAGGAATCCCAAGGGCTTCATCAGATGAGAAGGTAGACAGAGCAGTTAGAAGAGTCCGTACAAAGGCCCTGGGGCAGGAGGGAGCATGGATTTTTCAAAAAAAATGTAAGGATGTGGATGAGTGGGAGAGCCAAAGGAGGAAAGGACTCAAGGCTCTACCAGGCGCGGAGCAGAAGGGAAGCCTGAGCTTTGGTTTGGTTTTATTTGGTTTGGTTCCTGGGAGGGGGGAGGTGACCCAGACTGATGACTTAAGTACTCCCCTGGCTGCCAAGGGAGGAAGCCAAGAGGGCTTTTAAAGAGTAAGCGGAATTTGAAACTCAGTGCTGGTAAAAAGTGACAGAAGGGCCAGGAGATGGCAGATAGGGGCACCACACGGAGTGAGCAGAAACCTCAGAAAGTTTTAGGGAGAAGAAAGATAGGCGGCCTTGGCCTCGAGGATGGACAAGGCACGGAAGTACACTTCCCGCATCTCTAGCTTGCAAGGGGTGGGGGTGACCGGCACAGAGGCTGGACTTCAGCTGTGGAAATTGGGGGCGGGGCCTTGTTCATGGTGCGCACGCCCGTGTCCGTGCCAGTGTGTGTGTAAGAGACAGAGACAGGAGCAGAGACAGAGACAGGGACACACACACACACACACACACACACACACACACACAGAGGCAGAGGCAGAGAGAGACAGAGACAGAGACAGAGACAGAGACAGAGAGACGGAGACAGAAACAGAACGAAACGGGGGGGGGGGGGGGGGGGGGAGAGAGAGAGAGAGAGAGAGAGAGAGAGAGAGAGAGAGAGAGAGAGACCAAATGGACAGAGACACAGTCTGAAGCTCCCAGTGGCTTCCATCCGGGAATCCCCGGGGTGCGATGCGCTGGGGAATGGGACTGCAGAACCCAGGCCCGGGTCAGCCCACAAAAGGTCGGGAAGGGCTCCTTGAACAGAGGGGACAGTAGGAGAACGGCCCAGGGGAACGGTGGGAGAAGAGCAGGGATGGGGAGAGATGCTGACCGCGCCGTCGGAGCAGAGGGAGGACAGGGCGGGGGTCGCTGCTGTGCAGACCCCGGGTTCCAAGTCTCTCGAGGCAGCGCGCAGAGCGCTCTCGGGCAGGGACCGACGGCGATGGGCTCCGAGCACTAAACAGCGCCCCGCGGCGGCGGGGGAGGGGCCGGAGGTCGGGGTCCTGGGGGCGGGGCGGGGAGGGCCGGGGGCGGGGCGGGGGTGAACCCCGTGCCGAGCTGCTTTTGCCTCTTTCTTCTTCCGCACCACTGGGGTTTCCGCTTCCCTCCCAGGAGCGGGGCGAGAGGGAGGCATACCTCCGGCCTGCGCCTCCGCCATGTGGCCCCCCGACCCCGAACCGGACCCAGAGCCCGCGGGCGACCCCCGGGCCGGCGCCGCGGTCCCCGGGCTCCGCGCGCTGCTGCCGGCGCGCGCCTTCCTCTGCTCGCTCAAAGGCCGCCTCCTGCTGGCCGAGTCGGTGAGTGCGGCCCTACCGGCGCCGCCAGAGACCCGCGGGGAGTGGGTGGGCGCCCCGAGTTTCGCACGGCTTCGAACAGGGGCGAGGCGGACCCGAGCCCAGGCCTTCGCAGTTCTTCGGGCCTCGAGGCCCGGATTGGGGGCCGCGGGCGCGGCGGGGAAGCGGGGCGAGGCGTCCTCGCTGGCGGGGCTGTCCGGCTTTTAACCCTGTGCGGCGCTGTGACCCCGGACGCGGCGCCTGGGCATCTTCGGGTCTGTGGCCGGCGCCCTGCAGCGCACCCCAGCGGGGCGAGACAAAGAATCGCCGCCCCGACATTCCCAATCCCCGGGGCGGCGTCGCCTGGGCCCGTACCCCCCACCCCGGGGACTGGGTGAGGCCGGGGGCGCAGGCAGCTCCGCGCTGCAGGGCGGGAGCCAGCAGTGACTTCATCCCCGCTCCCCGCCCCGCTCCGCTGCTTCCGCCTTCCCGCTCGCCCCCACCCGGCCGGGCCGACCTTCTTTGTCCACTCCAAAAACTCCCGCACTGTCGCCTGTGGGGCGGGGACAGATGTCGGGCCTCCGGGAATGAAGGGGAGGAAGGGGCCAGGCGGAGGGAAGAAGAGAGAAAGGAGAGTGTCTCCGGGCAGCCACTTGTGGCTTAGATCTCCAGCAACTTGGCAATACCTGACCTTATGCCCCCTGGAGAGCTTGGGAGATGGACAGTGACCGAGAGAAAACGCAAGTGGAGGCGTCTAGGAGATTGACAGGCGGCTACGATGAGGGCCAAGTGAACGAGGAGGGTGAATTATGCCCCAGGACCTCGCATCTACCCCAGGGCAGATGGCAGGAGGTGGTTCTGAAGTCACCAGCCCAGCACCTTCTCACCTCCCAAATGAAGCAGCAGGTGGACCCAGAGCCCCAAAAGCCCAGGAATGGCCTCCTGGTTGTTATCCCAGCCCCACCCCTGTGTCCTCTGGGAACTATTTTGGGAGAAACCTTAAATTCGCTGTCTACCTAGGGGCTCCAACTCCACCCCTCCCAGGGCCACCTGATGGGTAGCTGGTGGGGTACCAGCTGGAGCACTGAGAAAGCCCCTGGCCTGACTTGGGTGTGAGGAATCCAGGCCCGAGTATGATGGAGGGACAAGGAGGAAGAGGCAAGGGATGCTCAACTCCCAACGAGGGTGCTGCTCCTAGTCACCCTGGCCCAGGGCCCACACAAGAGAGACATCCTTCATGGGTGGGAAATTACGAGCCACCAAGAATTGGAGACTGAGAAAACAGGAATCATCAAGAAGGAGATACCCAGAATCTGGCTTTGATGGGGTTGGGGGTGAGGCCAGGAAGGGGAGAGACACAGCAGCCTTCATTCAAGGAAGTATAGTGGGAGAGATGGACTGGGCTGGCTGTGCTCTTATGGCCTGCCTTCTAGAGAAACATACAGCCTCCTACTTTTCCCAGAGGGGCCTCAGCTACCCCCACGACCTTGCTCAAGGCAACCAGAGTCCCTGGGGACTCCCTGGGGTTCCCTGCAGTTCATTTGTCTGAAGCTTCCTGTGGGGCATCTGGAAGTCCCCATGGGGCCCCTGCAGCCCATCCCTGGGCCCCACTCCAAGCTACTCACCCATGGACCTGCTCAAACCCCGCCACACTTGCAGAAACCAGAGTAGATGAAGGCTTCCAGCGCTCAGGGTCAGAGTGTCCTGGGTTCACAGTCTGGTGCCCTCTTACTAGCTGTGTAATGCCATGTCTAGCTCTCTGTAAAGAGCCGTGAGCAGTGGCAGGAGCCTGGATGGTAGTGACCATCAGGGCAGATACCCATAGGCCTCAGCAGGCATTGGGTGCAGAGGAACCATCCTCTCGGCCTACAGAATTAATAGGGCTGCCTCAGGATCCCCGCTACTCATGGTATGTGCATTTGAACAAGACTGCAGTCAAAAACACACCCAGCCCCACTTTTCACAGTGGTTGTGCGAGTGATGTGGGGGAGGGACTCAGTGTTGGTGCCACCATAACCTCTCTTGGATAGCTTTTTCTTATTATGCGAATTTGCAAATAAAAGGGCTGGAAGATGGTATCCGTAATACCCATACACCTACCTGTTAGAGTGAACAGTGGTTACCACTTTGTTGCATTTGCTGTATTGTCTGTCCCTCAGTCCATTTTATGTTTTGATGCATTAAAGTACATCACAGACATCAATACATTTCATGCATATTCATTTCAGCATTGATATTAAAATTTAAGATTTGGGCTGAGGCAAAAAGACCTGTTTAGCCCACCGTGGGCAACTTAGTGACTTAGGCCTCTCTTAAAATAAAAGATAAAAAAGAACTGGGGATATAGCTTAGTGTGAAAGGCACTAGCTTCAATCCTAAGAACAATAACAAAAAAATCATTTTCAGGTAAAATTTACATTCTGTGAAAAGCACAAATCTTCAGTGTTGGGTGTTACTTTTTGAAGTTGGTTGCTATTTAGCATTAGTTTGCCCCTAGTGGGCACCAAGTAGGGCAAATTCTGCCATAAAGCCAATAAGGAGCATGAGATTGGGGGTGGGAGTGGTTGGGGTGAGCAGCCCCAGGAAGTGGCCTCCCAACGAGGCTGGATAGGCCTGGGAAGCTGGTGCTTCAAGTGAGTCCCGTAAGGGATCAGGACGCTGAGGCATGCCCAAGGATTGGGAACAGCGTGGATGAGGGCCTGGACCTCATGGCAGCGTTAATAGCAACTCTGTCCCTTTGCAGCTGCAGGACTGAGCAGGTGGCACCTCTAGCTGGAGTCTCAATTGTGCCTGAAAGCAGGAAGAGGCTCTGACTCCCTGGCTTCCCCACAGGGTCTCTCGTTCATCACTTTCATCTGCTATGTGGTGTCCTCGGCATCTGCCTTCCTCACAGTGCCTCTGCTGGAGTTCCTGCTGGCCCTGTACTTCCTCTTCGCTGATGCCATGCAGCTGAATGACAAGTGGCAGGGCTTATGCTGGCCCATGATGGTGAGGACCAGGGGACCCACGAGGAAGAGGCTAGCTGTAGTGATACTCATTCCTGATCGGCGGATGGGAAATCCAGAGCCCTGCATATGCCCCTTCCCTGTCTTCAAAGCCCTGGAGGGGCCATCTGATGTTGGTAAACTCCTGATAATCCAGGTCTGCCCAGGTGGCTGTGGTAGGACCTGGAGCAGGAACCCTAGACACGGCCCTTGGCCTCCAGGTGGCGCTGTAGTCCCCAGTAGTGCCTCGGATGAATGAGCCCCAGCCACAGGTATTCGAGCCATTTCCAGCCATGGGGCAGGTTAACTGAGGACCTACAGGACTCACCTAGTCTGCAGCGATCAGGCAGCTGATCCCTTGGAGGGCCCCAAAGTTCTGTCAGTGTCCACTCTTGAATGCAATGTGTCATAGAGCGGAGGCAGCAAAGGCCAGGCTTGACCCTGTTCTACTGACTACCTCCAGCATCCTTGCACTTAGCTAGGCAGGACTGCACCCTCTCTTCCCATTTTGAGAATGAGTAAAGAGAAAATGGATCGGCCACAAGTGTGTGGCACTGGGGTCCAGGCCCACGTCTCCTTGTCAGAGAGCTCGAAGGGAGCAGGTGACAAGGTTCCCAACTTCTACTTCACCACATGGGCCAAGCCATGAACCAAGCTGCTGCCTGGTTTTTTGTCCACAAGGCAGAGGATGGCAGCCTACCTGGACAAAGGACAGGGCAGTGCCACAGCCGGCAGTCTGTAGGACAACAGGAACTCATGGGGGTGGGAAAGGGTAGGTAGGATTCTATGGATGCTGAGCCTGGGGTCCCTCAGGCAGCTCAGGGCAGAGTGGCCATGCCCTTCTCTCCCCAGGACTTCCTGCGATGTGTCACTGCTGCCCTCATCTACTTTGTCATCTCCATCACTGCTGTCGCCAAGTACTCTGATGGGTCTTACAAAGCAGCCGGGGTGAGCAGCTTCCTACCCAGGGCAGAGCTGCCCAGCAACATCCCCCCTCTGAAGCTCCAGATGCTCCTCTGAACCCTCCTTTAGGTTGGGACCTGGGTGCATCCTTTCCACTTTGGGCCCCTGGGCACCCAACTGGGATGCAGGATTTGCAGATTCACTCAGGGCCTTGAACTTTCCAAGGTCGGTCATCCAACCTGGGGTATAGCTCATTGCCCCTTCCTCAGAAGGCCTGAGCATATGTAGCCAGATGTGAGCCCCCCCATGCAGCCTCCTGGACTTGGGACCTGGATCTTTCGGTGATATGCCCTGCCCAGCGTTCCCAGCCACATGCTCTGCACATGTTCCACAGGTGTTTGGCTTCTTAGCCACCATTGTGTTTGCAATTGACTTCTATCTGATCTTCAACCACGTGGCCAAATTCCTCAAGCAAGGGGACTCTGCTGGTGCAGATGAAACCACAACCCACAGGGCGGAAGGTAGGTGTTTGTCCTAGGTCTGCCAGGGGACCCAGCGATCACTCCCAGGACTGCTGCAGGGGCCTTGCCCTTCCGTGGGGACATTTGGTCTCCAGGGTGACTTTTGAGGCTGGGAGAAGGACAGTGTCCCTTAAGGTAGCCAATCACAAAGCCAGTGTGTCTATCCCAGCAGGGGCAGGCTGGGCTCATGCATGCTGAGTGCTTGTGACCCTGCAAGGTCCATTTCCTGGACAAGACCTCAAGGCAGCCAGTCATTCTTGGGATACTGAGTGGTCACCTGCCTGGACCCAGCTTCCCCTGCCATCCTGCCTGCCCAGGGCCCAAGGGCCAAAGAACCCAGGCAGTTATCTTTTTCATGGCAAACCCAGGTCTGCTCAGGCTCATTTTAGTTTTATTTCCAAGAAAAAAAAAAATCAGTGGATATTCTACTCCCTTATTCAGCTCAGAAAGGCCAGTGAATAGTCTCTTGATTTAAAAAATCAAAAGAAAACAACTTGAAAATTGAAAGGCTGGTGCTGCTCTCTGTGACAACACAGGTGTATCAACTGTCACATCTTTGGAAGGCTTGTGTCTTACAGAGGACATGTGGCAGGAGCCCTGCACAGATCTGTCAGGAGTCTTGACAGCTGGTTTGGTGCTGTGGCCTTCCTCAGTCACACCCAGGGGAGACTACAGAGTACCAGGCCCAGAAGGGGAGAGCAGGTAGAGATGCTGACACCCCCGCCAAGACTCTAAAGCCTACTAGTCACTTCCTGCCCTGGTCTCGCTGCATTCTCAGGTAGACTTTAAACAGAACCTGCCACCGTCATTGGCTAGTAACTCACATCTTGCTCAGCATTAAATTCATCCCAGCCTGGTGTCCCCTTGTGCCTTCCTGAGCTCTTGTGTTACTCCTGCTGAGTCTGCCCTGTGCTAGGCATTGGGAGTGCAAAAATAGACAGGGTCTACCCTGGGGGAGCTCACAACCCAGACTGGAGTTAGAGCCAGAGGCAGAGTTGTGTTGGATGTAGCAGGTTACGTGCTGTCCTGTGGGGACAGGAGCAGGAGGTGATGTCAGGGAAGGTCACCAGGTGGGGCAGTAATGAGGAGAACCAAGTGGAAGCTAATGCAGCTGAGGGATGAAATAGCTCAGCTCAGGTCCTTGCATGCCAGCCAGGCTGAAGGCTGGTGGAGGTGACCCTGGAGCTATCTCAATGGATGTGTAGGAGTGTGCAGGTAGAAGCCATGGGGCAGCTGGAGAGAGGGACAACAGAGAGTGCTTCCCATCCGGGTGAAGTATTTCTAAATCAGTGGTGCCTGGCCCTGGGCAGGAGGCACAGGACAGGGGGCTGTCCAGGGCATCCAGGCCCCACCTCCAAGTTGGGACCTTCCCCACTGAGTGCTTGCTACTGTCCCGGGCAGGACCCAGATGGTTAAGTTTAGGAATCACCAGGTTCCCCACAGCTGGGCTATAGGGCCCATGGGGAAGTGGCCCCTGAAACTGTTGCCCTGCTAAAACAATGCTATTCAGCTGGTCTTTCCCACACTACAGCAAACAGGAGATCAGAAGCTCCTAGACACTGTCTTCAGGCGTATCTAATGTGCAGCAAGTGCCCAGTGAGCCAGCCCAGTGAACAACTCATCAGTGTCAGCGAAGACTTGTATTTTAAGTAGTTTGTATTTTTTTTTAGTATCTGTTGCTTTATATGTGTGTGTTGGTGTAGTTACTGCAGTGCTAGGTGCAGATATATCAAAATCCACAGTCTTATCAGTGCAGCCCTGGCATGAGTGAGGATTGGGGAGGTTCTTCTAGCAGTGCAGGAATTTCCAATCCCCCAGCCTTGACCCTGAACTAGCCAAGGCTCAGGACCAACAAGGCCCTAAGGGGCTGGCCAGGAAGAGGGAAGCATAAAAGCAGGATCTACAGCGTGGTGGGGAAGAAGTCTGGAGTGCTTTCCCCCCCAGGGTGGGCTTCTGGAGGCTCCACAGAACAGTCTTCAGCAGTGGGCTTTCAGGAACCCTCAAGACCCATATCACGGATGGGCCCTTCACACACAGCTGTTAGTGACCACAGTAGAGAATGAGAATGGGGGTCAGGGGAGGTTGAAGTTATAAAATGACTTTTTACAAAGTATCTGCTCATTTTCCAGTACAGTTTAGTATGAGGGACAAGGAAGGAGATGCCCTCCTGGCTTTGTCTTGCTGACCTGGGGGGTAGAGCTGGGGCCAGAATACAGATGAACAGCTCTCACACCTCCAGGTAAGAATAGCCCAGGAGTCTTGGGGGGGGGAGGGAAGCTAGACCCCTAGGGAAGGGACAGCTAGGCTTCAGTGGGGGAGAGGGGAGCGTGTCCCCACCCCTTCCCCCATGAGTGCCAGGTGGTAAAAGGGGACACCTATGGAGTCCAGGCCCCATCTCTTCAGCAGCAGGTGCCGCCATAAGGCAGAGTCTAGTCAGATCTGGGAGGGGCTGGGCTCACCTCCTGCTAGCGCTCCCCCGCCAGTGCCTCCCCAGAGGCTGTTCCCTGGCACTGCTGCCTAGAGACTCCTGCGTGGCATCCTCTGTGCTTTCCTTTCAGAGGACAATTCTGACTCCGACTCCGACTGAGAGCTTGCTTGCCCAGCAACCTGAGCCACCTGGGGCTTTGGCACCTGCACCTTCCTGACACAGCTGCTGGAGGCCTGGCCAGGGACACAGCCCGAAGATTCAATCCTGTGTCCAACATTCAAGACTGTACCCCTGGCTTGGCACAGCTAAACCACGCCGCGGGCCAGGACATCTTGGGTGCTCAACCTTCTCCCCTTCTCTGTCACACAGACCTTAAGCCCTTTATGCCTGCTGCCAAGATCAAGCCCAGGAAGACACAAGAGCAGGCTGCTGGTATCCGGCCTGCTACACCAGTTTGTGCTGCAGGGTGGGGGGCACCTATGTCTCACTGACAGCCACCCCCCTCGTGGTCTCTGCACAGGTGCCACTGCTTCTGCTGGCATTTTTTGAGAACACTTCTAGAAGGGAGAAACCGACCTTGACCTTAACGGGCATGGGTCTTGGCACCCATACCTGACACCACACTCCAGAAAATGCACCTTCCTCAGGTGAGATGACTAATCTGGGTCTAAGACTGTTTCAGAGAAGAGTTCATAGCCTTGCTGTGTAGGATCAGCAGACAGAGGGAGCTGGTCAGGGGCCATGGCTCGGCAGCTGGGCGGGCCCAGCGAAACCCTCTCTTCCTGGAGGCCATTGCTTCCTTGGCTATACCAGAGCAATTCTCTGACCACCTCCTGAGAAATGAGATGAGCCTTCCACATCCACCTAAGGACTTATATTTTTTATGTATCTTTGATGGGTTCTGTAGCTTTTTATATTCTTCTTTATATATACAAAAACAGCTTAACAGATGATATTTTCTGTGACCTAAGGGCCCTGTGAATGAGCCAGAATTCTGGGCCTGTTTTGGGCATTTGTTACTTTATTCTATTCTTGCATGTGACTCTCCTACCCTGAAAAAGCCATAATGGATTAAACCAGACTGACTACCTACCTGAAGTGTCTGATTGCAAGAACCTTCTAACACCCACAGCAGTAGCGTGCAGGACCACGTCACAGTTGTAGTGACATGCGGAGGGTCCCAACAGCCTTTAGTTTCAGCAGCAAGGCAGTCACACTTCCTGTATGCCTGGGACTAGAGTAAGCACCTAATCAGTACTGATTCTTTTATTTAATCCTGCAGTCAAGGAAACAGGAACAGTAAGTGACCAGCCCAGGGCCCTCTCCTTTGCAAATCAGGACCATGTCCCACGGCAACCAGAACCTAGAGCTTTTGTGGTTTGGAAATTAGCTGTACAAGAAACTTCAAGGCTGCAGGCTAGGAGAACCCTGCTCAGTGTTCTGGCTTAGGAGAGATGGGAAGAGGCAAGTCCTTCCCAAAAGGTGCACAGAGCTGAGAACATTAAAGCTGAATGGAGAACCAAGAGGGCTCAGGGCCGAGTTTCACAGCTACCTCGTGAGCCCAGCAGAGCAGGCATCCTTGACACCGCAGTGTAGTCTGCGGCTCTTGCGATATTCCACAAAGCAAGCCTGTTTCAGGACCTGGGTCCATAGCCTTTGTAGGGGACAGTGAAGGTGAGGCAGCGAAGAGAGCAATAATATTTTTACATGTCCATTTATTAAACAAGAAATCCTTCATGACAATTTAATACAATATTTATTAGCGATTAGTGTTGAGAAAATTATTTCCCTCTACATACAAAAATACAGATTTAACACTATGAAAACAATCAAGACAAGTACCATGAAAAATTGACCCTTCAAGAGAAATAAAGGGGAAGACTGAGGGCAGTATGAGGCTTTGCCTGCTGTCAGGGAAAAATCAACAGGAGCAAACACGTTGGGGTCCCCGTCCCAAATGTACAGGCCAAGCCTGAGAGCCTGTCAGAGCGGGAGGAGGCCTGAGACAGAGCGGCACAGCAGGGTGAGGCCCGGCATGGGAGCTCTGCCCCACGAAGTGCACAAGCAGAAGCTTGCCCAATGCCCATCGCCTCAGAGTGCCCACAGCTGTGTCTCTGAACCGCCAAAAAAACAGATTTCTCAGACACAAGGTGAGGCAATTCTTAATACCACCCTAAAAAGTGCCACTGGATAAAGTCCCAATGAGTGAGCCTATCAGAAAATTACGATTTAGCTGTCTGACTGCACTTCCTTTGTTATCACAGAATTACATGTTGACTTCAGAAGGACAAAAAGAAAAAAGCTCCAATTTCAGGGTTCAGTACATCTGTTCTTCCCTTCCACAGCGGCTCAGTTAGTTTACCCAAGGCCTTCCTTGAGCAGACATGACTCAGCCTGCAGGGCCAGGGAAGCAGAGAGCTGCTTGAGGCTGCCTGTGCCTTGATTCCATCCAGCTCCTCACAGGAGAGCACCTGCTGCAGTCAGGCCTAAAACCTAGACAAGGCCTGAACATCCACAACCCCGCTGAAATCCAAGTGCTGGCACGTCTGCAGACGGGATGTGGGGCTCAGGAGGCAGGGAGCCCTGAGCCAATCCTGGAAGTGCTGGGCCAGGCGACATCTCGAAGTCCGGAGGAGAACCGGCAAGGAGCTAGGTGCAGGCTTGCCACCATTTCAGACCCAACCAAGGGGAAGTCACCTGGGATGACAGGCTTTTCTTTGCTTTCTCAACACAAAACAGCTGTCACTGTTCAAGATAAGGGGTGGCTCCTGAAACTGAGCAAACGGTTGAACAATGCCAAATGCAATTATACTGACTCATACTTATTTCACAGAAATATACTTTTACTCTCAGACTGTTTAAATAAGTAGAAACAAGATACAGGTATGAATTTCCACAGAGAGAAGAGAGTAGCCAGGGAATTTTTTGTGGTGGTTTTTTGTTTTGTTTTCTTTTTGAAAATACGAATTTTAAAGGGAAGATGGCCCAGATCACAAGACCAGCACTTTTGAAAGCAATATTAAAAGGACACAATCTACAAAAATAGTGTTATCTGTTTTAACTAAATGTACATCTTCTCTTCCAATTCCATGATTGACAAGAGTGCTTATGTGACACACAGAAGGCACCAAAGGTGAAGTGATTAGTTGTCTTAAAATATACAAAGACAGAATTGCCTACTATGAAAACAAAAAACAGAACAAAACAGAACAAAACAAAAAAACCCAGTCAAACCTGTAATAAATAGTTTAGTATTTCTGTCATGGGTTCCTGAGCCCCTACAAATTTCCACATATACAAATAATGTTAATCTCTACCATCCTCTTAGAGGGAATCATGTCAAAATCAAGTTATGAAAAGCACTGATTTTATGCAAAGAGCTCAATTCATCATAATTTGAAAACTCATTAAGTGTGTTGTGAATGGGTAAGTTGGAAGCAGGCAGCTCCACTGCGGTCTGGGCCAGCGCAGGGACCATCCCAAGCATCCTGCCCATGCCTGTGCCTGTGCCTGTGCCTGAGCCCTCCCAGCCCTGGGACCAGCCCATTCTCTTTTAACGCTTTTCTTCCTCACTTCCACAGAGAAGGAAACAGTCTTGAAGCTTGCAAAGTCAATTCTGAAAAAATCAGGGCAACAGGGCCAGTGGAGGGAAGCAGCCATAGCCTGACATGGTCTTGTATAGACACGGGCCTCCCAGGTGTCTTTATGTCCTGACCATTCCTCTAGTTCCTCTCCTGATTAAGAGGAGGCAACTTCCTACTGGGTGTCAGTAGCAGCTTCCAAAGACAACTCAGATTTGATAGTTTCAGATTGTTGCTGAAACCACAGGAATCACTATTAGGATTTTATTTCATACAATCTCTTTTCAGGAAGAATTTAAGAAATGAAACTCAAAGATTTGCCCTAACACCCATCAAAAAAACCCTACTCTAGATGGTTTCAGACATGTTTTTAACATAAATATCAGAACCATAACAGCTCTGATAGCTCACCAGAGTCCAAGCAGTATTACCCCTTTACTAAAGTTTGTTCACCTGAATTAAGGTCTCAGCCTAAGAAGTGAGAACAATAAACTAATGCACTGAAATAGGTACTTTAGTCAAAGGCCGGCGATCTAAACTTTATTCTAAATCAGTTGCCAGCGGTGAAGGTCAGTGGGCTTGTAGGTCATTTTTTTTCTTTGATGTTACATTTACAGAATGAGAAAAAGTAGAATGAAAAAAATCCCAAAGATTTAAAAAAGTGTCAAAATAAAAAAAGATATAGAAAACAAGGGAAAATATAGGACCTTCTCTGTTGCAAGCCCAAAGCATATATACATGCTACTTACTGGCATGAACAAAAGCCCAACAGAACATTCACTTTCAGAAGAAAATTCTTCTAGATCTAACAAACTCGAAGTATTTTCTAAGACTGAGGAAATATAAAAGGTTTCTAAATAGAGAAAACATAAAAGGTCAAATATTTCAAATTCCTTTCCAAACCAGGCAAACACTATGATTTAAAAAGATACTTGCTAAGAGAAAAAAAAAAAAAAAAAAGATTTACAGAATCAAGAAGATCTACAAAGTGAAAGGGTGGTCCTTTAGGGGTGTGTCCTGCAAGGGACCTAAACTAATTTAGTCACCTGCTCAGACCCAGACTAGATGCTAGCTGGTCCCAGTGTTCAGTTCTTGCCCTGAAGCTGATTGGGGAACACAACACCTCACTTTATGGACAAGAATATAGGCAGGCAGGTAACTGAGCACGTTTCCACAGCAGCCTGGAGTGGTACACACATCTAATGCCATCAGCAGTAGCCTCCTCTCTTCTCCTCACTTGCCACTACCCTGTGTGGCCCTCACCTGCCCACAAAACCCCTACCTAATTGGGCCTAAGATGGATGCTGATAAAACAGACCTGGGGAAGAGGGAAGCCCTGGATACCAAAACTTCATGACAATCCAAAAAGGTGCTTGGAGACCTCCATAAGCCAGGCCCTAGAGCTGGATGTAACATTTTCTACTCATGAGAACCAATAAGTAGCTCTTGAGTTAACAAGCATGCTCTTTTTCGTACTACGTGTGCAATGTTACTATTACTCTGTAGACAACATATAGAGAACATGACAATGAGGTGGTGGCACGACTTCATGGTGGCTTTACTGTGAATGAGGATGGCTTAGCAGGAGTCCCCTACATCATCATGCATTCCACTGTCTTCACACTCCACTTCTGTTTGGACAGTTTCTAAGATCAACCCTTAGGAAATCTGGCACAGACAGGGATTAGAACGTGGTCCACCTCTGGGAGCACATAGATAGGTGAGGGGTTTCTTCCAAATAGTGCATGTGCTGAATCTAAGAGAAGTGAGCTTGGGCCACACACAAGGGTTACCCAAGGGTCGCTCATGGCAAGCAAGAGCTCACATACACGTACAGATAAAAGTTAGGGCTTTGTCTCCTCAGAAACTTTGTGGCTTACCAAAAGTCTCAATCCCTAAGAAAGCTTCACAAAGGCAAACAAAACTGCAAACTTGAGGCAATCAGGAATGTTTACACCTGAGCCTGGAGGCTGTGGCTAGAAGGATCCAGCATAGGCTGCCCACAGGCATGAACCTTCAGGCAAGAGGACAACAATGGTGCCCCAGCACCATGCCCTCAGAGCCCAACTGGTCCTTGCTGGTTTCGCTGTGGCTAGGCTCTACACACACCAGCTCTTCAGCTCACTGGGCTAAGGCAGACATGGCAGTGGAACTGAGCGGGCTACTGTGTTCTTGCTTTTTTTGTTTTTAGACAAGCAATTTGCCTTGGATGGCTGATTACTTTAAATCAAACTTCTCTAATGACATTTTAGTTTAACCATGTTTGCCCTCTCTAGGGGACTAACAGGTGACTAGACTTTCATGATTGCAGTATCTCTGTATGAAAGAGAAAGGATTTTGCCTCCTCCGTGCCTTCAGCAACATGAAGGGAGGGCAAGGTGAGTCAAAGGGAAATACACAGTCAGTCAACCACATCGCTGCCCAAATAAACTCCATGAAGTTGGCAGTGTTTGTGTTCATCAGAACCACCAGAGGTCACACCAAATCCTGAAAAGCTTTAGCCTGCATGTGCACAAACACTCCAGGATGGACACAGAACCTGTGGCTTCCTCAAGCTTTGTTTTAACTTCTGGGAAAGCCAATTCATCCCACAGAACACTGAGAAAACTGAAAAACTAAGCCTCAGCCTTAAAACGCCCTGAATCTAACTGACACTGGTCCACAATGGATTAGCTAAATGCTAAACTACATTTCCTTCAATTTGCAAGAAGGTCATTTTAATCTGGACTGTCTGCCGTTTGCATACAGAGGAGACAGAAGAAAACCATAGGGCCTTACATTCACAGCAGATGACCACCTCCCTTGACAACTTCCTCTGTCTGTGTACTACAATCAGACTGTACAGGGTGCTTCTGGTTCTTGTGGGAGCTAATTAAATAGTATAAGGAAATACATTTACAAAAACCACGGGGAAATCTCATGGCACAAAGGATATTAAATAGTAATAGGAACATAAATAATTCCAAAGAGTACCAGTAAGATGCAAATTAACACCTAAATCTCTCTGGGCAGGAAATGTCATCACGTTTTATCAGCCCTCAATGCTTATGGTCTTGATGGGCCTCAGAACTACTATTTATTTCCACTGACAACGCATCCTCAGGAGGCCAATCAATGGTTTCCTTTCACCGGATAACACGTTGGTTTTAATGAAGTGACTCAGGAAAGCCTGGGCAACAGTCTTGCCTGAATGATATTCTTCTTTCACTCCTATTTCAAAGGTGGCTTTATTGAGTCCAAGTAACCTGACTCCCAGCAGACTTCTGACAAAGCTCAGGGTGGTCCTTCCAAGTGGGCTCCATCTGATGCCAGGCTGGGTCTTTGTGGTCCTGTTTTAAATGGAATTCTGAGAAGGCAATAAGCCCAATTTTAGTTATGTACACACAATCAACAAATGTACAATAGATATGTAAGACTATGAGATAAAACCCAGATGTCTTCAGTTCCCCTCACATCGCCACATAACAGGTTCAAAGTCTGTAAAGCATGATGGTGCTGACTCACGACATACATAGGAGGAAGAAGGCTCTGTCGGCCTCAGGCTCAGCTGTGGCCAGGCCAGGCTACCCTCTGTGGAAAGAGAAGCTACCTCCAGACTAACGGGTCAGTCCATGAGGCAGCCGCACTTACTCATGTGACCTGGCCTACCGCCCAGGAAGGGCTGCAAAAGAACTAGACTGTGCTGGACACTGGGATAGGGAGCCAACTCTTGACCCTGGCCCTCAGACCTGACACAACACCATTCCTGTGGAATACCCAGCCCAGGAGCACTATCTAACCAAAAACCCTCGCCTCCCCATTAAAGCAAGATACTGCTGTTTCCTGAAAACTGCAATGCCATACATGCACACAGGACACCTCGTCACACTGTCCTACCCCCTCCTCTGGGCTTTTTCCTACACAGAACACAGCTAAGACTGTAAGTGGGCCTTAGTACAAGACGTCAAGGTTTTCCAGGCTACTGTAATATCTTCCCACCAGCAATGTACTTTCCTTGATAAGGGCTAAACACAAAATATTAGAGCTACAGTGACATCTGTAAACATTAAAACAGTTCAAAATGTGAAAACCTGACAATTTTTCTATGAAAGATACAATTAGATTTTTAACAACACCCACCACAACAAAAATCTACAGCATTGTAGGGGCTCATTTAACTCATTCATCACAAAAAATAATCTTCACTTGATCAACAATCAATCAAAAACCTAAGTAACTAGGATTTTCCCCAACAACCTCCACCACTGGTCTTCATAGTAATGATGCTCAGGCACCCAAACTGGTAACTGGTACCTTCTGACACATCAGAGGAAGGACATATCCTGGTATAAATTCAAGTATTTTAAAACCCTAGACAGATCTATTCAGAAGCATTTTAAAATTCTTCTCAGGTATCAGAAAATTAGCACACACTGCTAAAACAGAGGTGTGTTTGTGTGTCCTGATTTGTAACACATACACATAAACACACTCCCACGTGTGGTCCAAGAAGACAGCGAACAGGCAAGTGCTTTGGCTGGTGGAATGGATTGTGTTTCTTCTGTGGCTGTTACCTGAGAAGGTAAAATTACAGAAACTCTGCAGTTCAGCCTCAGAGTACTTAGGGTAAGCAGGAAGTGGTCAAACAAGGTGGTCCCCATATTCTTGGAAAAGAACCTGGGACTCAGGAAGGTGATTCATTTGAAGAAGAACCAATGATGTCTCAGCAGGGTAGGAAAAAAGGGTAACCTTCCTGTGCATCAGGGGTCTCATGGAACTGTCACATAGGACACCAGTTTTTCCTGTCCCTGCAATATTCAAGTCTAGCAAAGAAATCCACCAGCATATCCAATGCTAAAACTCTCAGAGTCCCCAAAAGTTTCAGGCCATTCTGGTTGCCTTGATGGCCTGGACATGGAAGACGAGGGAGGCAGGTCCTGGCAGCCAGACTCAACATGCACCCAGAGCACACCACGAGGCTGCCTCTCTGTCCCAGCCCTGCACCTTCATTTCTGGATGCCTACTTTCCCCTTCTTAGCAGCCCTGTGTAACCCAGCATCTTGACTCATCACAAATACACATGGCAGTGTGGCTCATGGGTCAGATAGTTGGCTGCTCCTGTGGCTGTCCAATACTAGAGGACACAGGCCTTTCTAGCCTACTACGGACCCACCAGCAGGGCCACTCTGGACACCTTTTCCCAAAGTGAACTTTTACCAAAGAGGACAAAATTCAGCTGAATCACATGAAAGTCTCATGAGTGGAGGGAAAGAAAATTCGACTGGAAGGATGGGCACAAGGGCTGGAGGAAGGAAGACTCCCGTGGGACCTCATGTGTCCAGGCGCTGGATCTCGGGGCGACTGTCCACATCTCTGGACTCAGTGCGGGCTCGGATGTAGTCGTTGGCGCTCTGCTGGCGGACACTGACTCTCCATTTCTGTACGGCCAAGAATGTGCTCACTGCATAGGCTGCTGTTGCCAGGAAGCCAAATATCTAAAACACACAGGCAGGGTTAGTCTTGGGCACGTCATCTGACCTGGTGGCTGCAGAGACCTGAGCTGCGTGAGCCCCTTCCAGCTGTATCCCCCAGTCCTACGGAGTGTGGAGCTCTGGCTGAGGTTGCAGTCAAGTGCCCCACAGAAACTCCTGCTTGACCCTAAGACAGCCTGGTACTGTATCTGTTTCAGTGTTTTGCATCCATTAAAAAAAAAAAAAAAAAAAAAACCAACAGATCATAAAAGTACCTCTTACTGCACGCACCTTCATGACCTCTCATCCTGGACAAGCAAGTGTAACAGATAAATATGATGCAGAAAGAATATTAAAGCCTTATACATGAACTCTGAATCAAGCCACAGACTGGCATTCCAAACCCACCCCTAACCTGCTGCCTGTCACCCGGGCAATGCCAGGTGAGATGCAATAGGGAGTCAGGGGTTAAATATTTGGTCAGGCTTCCTACACCAACTGAGTGGCACTGGCAGAGCAGCCAGCTCACAAATTTTGAAAGCCTTTTAATCCCCCTCAATTATAAAAAGGATACATGCTCTTTATACATGAAAGCAACAGAAATGCAGCACACAGGGAGTGAACAGCTCCTACTGTCTGTTCATCTCCTCCTCTCCACCTTAGCCCCCATAGTCAGTAAAGAAGGAGCTGAAGATGAAGGGGGCACACAGGAGAGGACAGAGCGCAAGTCATGGAAGGTGCAAAGTCAGCCTGCACCTGAACCATTCAAGGTTGCTTACCATGGCAGCAATCTCGGCTCCGGTTTTGTGGTTTAGAGCAGCCAGTACAATTGAGGCAATAAAGAAAAAGAAAGTGCTGAGTCCAGTGTTGACAAGATCCTAAAGAAAACGATAAATAAAACCAATGGAAAAGAAACATTGTAAAAGCAGCTGAACATTCAAAGACAGACTCACAATGCCCAACTTCCAATGGCTCCGTATCTCAGTCCATGCCACAGGGGCACCGGTCACATAAGGAAGACCAAAAACAACAGCTTATGATGCTACTGGGCAAATCACACTGCAAAATCTGCATTTTAACCTACCACATTGCCAATTCTTGTCTTAAATAGCAACTAAAACATAACGCTGGTAACTGTTTAGAGTTCTTGTGTCTTTTTATTTTATTTTATGTAGTGCTGAGGATCAAATCCAGGGCCTCATGCTGCTAGGTAAGCATTCTAGCGCTGAGCTGCATCTCCAGCCCTCCAGTTCATGAGATGCTCATGCACCTTGGATGAGCAAAGTGTCAGAGTCCCAGTGTACTGACACTGGGGCAGCCAACGCCACACCCTGCCTTTATGTGTGACACTTAAAGCACACTATTTCCATACACTGAGAACAATTTCTGACAGTATTTTAAACCTCTGCATTGTGAAAGCCTGGATGATTTCTTCCTCAATTTCTTGCCAAGTAGCTGAGGCTATGCACCCAGTGTTTCAGAGTCCCAGTTCTTGTCTTGTGGAAGAAACACAGCCCACTGATTAAGAGTCACAGGCCGACTAGGTGAGGAGGGAGGGGCAGAATGGAGACAGGGGCCCCAGCTCGCAGGGCTTACATGACACAATTTTCTGTAAAACCATTTCCTAAGAGATAGCAAAAATTCTGAAAAGCTTCATGTTATACTTAGAAATTCATCTGAAGTACTAGTGCAAAAAAGCTGTAAGTATAAGGATGTTCTTTATGACATTATTTAAAATAGCTAGAAGCAGCCAGCTGTGGTGATGCATACCTGTAATCCGAGCACTCGGGAGGCTGAGGCAGGATCACCACAAGTTCAAGGCCAGCCTGGGGTACACAGTGAGATCAAGCCTAGCTTGAACTATTTAGTGAGAACCTCTCTCTTTCAAAAAAGAAAAAAACAGGGGCTGAGGAGATGGCTCAGTATAATAAGTGCTTGCCTGGCAAACACAAGGGTCTGAGTTCAATCCCCGGTTCTGACAAAAAAAAAAAAAAAAAAAATAATAATAATAATAATAATAATAATAAATAAATAAATAAAAATAAAAAAGCTAGAAGCAAACAAAATACTCAAAAACAGAAGTAAATAAAATGGAATTTCCATAGTGGCAAATAATGTCATTAAAAATAATCAAGTAAGGGCCGGTGAGATAGCTCAGTGGAATGAATGCCTGCGTAGGCAAGTACAAGTGCAGGGACTGGGATTCAATCTCTGGTATGGCTGGCTGCACTGGCCCTGCCCCCGGCGCACTGAGCACACCTGTAATCCCAGGGCTGGGGAGGCTGAAAACAGGAGGATCACTACAGGTCTGAGCTGTGTAGTGAGACCCTGTACCAAATACATAAATCATCATCATCATCATCATCATCATCATCATCATCATCATCATCATCAAGTAGTTTTACATTCAACATAAAGGGAACTTAAATGAAAAAGCATGACTTTTTTTGTATATGGAGGGAGTAGTGAGGCTTGCGATCAGGGCCCCACATGATAGGAAAGCTACACTGAGCTATATCCTATCCTTCGCATGAATTTAATGGCTTCATTTTTCTCCACTCATATAACAACATAAATGCATATATGAAAAGCAATCTAGAGAAAACACAAGGACTTATACTTATGTAAACATACAATTTAATCACAATGAAATTTTAGAACATTTCAACATGTCAAAACAAAAATGAAAACAAAACCCTCACACTCATTAGCAATCATTCTCCTACCACGATTCTAGATAACCACTATTTGCTTCCTGCCTCTGGATTTGCCTAGGTTGGATATTTCATATAAATAGAATTATATGATATGTTGTCTTTTGCTGCTGCTTCTTTCATTTAGTATAATGATTCTATAATCTATTACTACTGAGGCGTGTATCAATATTTTGTTCCTTTTCATTACTGAATAATATTTCACTGTGTAGACACATTATCTTAAGTTACTTTTCTTGCTACTGAGACAAAATACCTACTATCCAAAGTTAAAAGACAAAGTTTTATTTCAGCTTGTAGTCTGTAAAGGTTTCAGTCCATAGTTAGCTGGTTCCGAAGCAGGGCAGCATGTTAGAGGGACAAAGAGAGGAGAAACAGTCCATGGCATGGCAAGCAGAAGGCATGGAACAGCCAATGCAGCAGCAGAAGCAAGCCTGCCTTTGCCTTTTATCCCAAACAGCCTACACACCTTTTGGGTTGTGCCATACACACCCAGGGTGAGCTTCTGTCCTCAGTAAATCCATTCAGCCACACCCAGAATTATGATAATTCTACTCAGTGGACTAACTTAATATTATACACACTAACCCCAGTATCACATGCCCTAGACTCAGCCAGCTCCCAAGCCCCACCTACAAGCACAGGAGGCTTTGAGGGACATCTAGACACAAGGCACAGCACATACACCTTACTTGCCCTTTTATCAGTTGATGGACATGTCCGTGTTGCTACTTTTGGGTTATTATGCTAATACAACTATGAATTCATAGCTTTAGTGCAGGTATATATTTTCATTTCTCCTTCTCTTGGGCTGATACGATGTTTTAAAAATCTGTATCTAGTTTTTCTACCACAGACATTTATTGCTTGTATGAAATAAAAGACTGACAAATGGGACTCTAGAAGTTAGCCAACCTGGGCCACTTGAGTTCCTGGGCTATGAAACAAAATCAAAGCTTGTAGATTCATCTTTCAAATTAGGGGACACATGTAGGTGTGCCCCCAGATATGGGTTTGGGATTTTTTTTAAGTCAAAAATGATGTTTACACTTTTTTTTTTTTTTTTTAATAGTATAGGGTCTACAGGGTCTCACTACACAGATTAGACTCCTAATGATTCTCCTGTTTTCAGCCTCCCAAGTGCTGGGATTACAGGTGTGCACCACCATGCCCAGTCTCAATCGCCATCTCAGCGTGCCCTGGGGACGGGGAAGGCACAGCATGGCCAGGATCGAACCCTGGTCCCTGCGTCTGCCTAAGCAGGCACTTTTAATCTGCTGAGCTATCTGGCCAGCCTGATGTTTACACACATTTTAATGCTTTTGACTTAGCATGTGGTTTATCAGCCACATGCACTCCAGTCTGCTACAGTCCCCCCCAACTCCCTGCAGTCTCACACACCCACTTTATGTCAGGTGTCTGGTTCCTGAAATACACCCCTCCTTAAGCTAGGAATGAAGAGAGGGTCAAGCAACAGGAGCTAAGCAATCACCCAGCCCAGCAGTGCCACACAGGAACACCTGCTTTTGTGTCTCTCCTTCAGTAACTCACCATAAGCACAGTCACAGATCAACAGTCTGGCTGTGCGTGCTAACTAGACACCTACAGGCCATGTAGGGGCCACGGCAGGTCTGATTGATAAGTGTCCAAACAAGTAGGAACAGCAACAACTAAAAATCAAAACTCACCCACTAGCTACTCTTGAGAAATTGTACCACAAGTCCTATGAAGCAACACAATCAGCTGGGACTGATTAGAGGACCACCCTCTCCATCCCCAACTCTCAGGCATTATTTTCTCACCAACTGTGTCATATGCCCAATCCCGTGGTGCTTTGGTTTCTATCTACAAATCTCCCAAAGCCTCAGGCATGTGTAGTGGTGTCATGAGGAGGTGACAGGGTCATGGGGAGGTAACTGGATCACGGGTTAGTGCACTGATGAGTTTGCAGCTGAATGTGATCTCCTTTGGAGGAGGCGAGTCACTGGGGTTGCAGCCTGGGAGGGTCTATCTCCCTCCTCCCTTGATCTCTGTGTCTGCTTCCTGCCTGTCACACCACAAGCCATTTGTCCTCTACAATGCCCCTCGGCCATGCTATTCTGCTTGCCTGCCAGCTGACTATGCCCTGAAATCTCTACAAACTGGGGCCAAAATAAACCTTTTCTCCTCGGAGTTGCAGGTGTCTCAGTGACGAGAGAAGTAACTAAGACACATGGGTCCCAGTGCTCCAGTCCCAGAGAACGGGTCATCCTACAACGTGCCCCACCCTTACATTCTCTATGCCCAGCAAAAGCTTTTCATTTAAGGCCTAACTGACATTTCCTCTGAACCTCTCAGGACTGACCCAGGGGAGGGCCCTACCCTGAAGCATACACAACTTGTACCCTGTGTTCTTTCAGCCCTTGCACAAAACTAGGTCCTGGAAGCACCCAGCCTACAGGACAGCAGCTAGCACCAGCCTGCCCTGTACTTTCTGTTCCCAAGACATGGCACAAAGCAGGTGGTCAATGAATATTTGCTGCACTTATCAGAGATGAGACACCTAGAAATGGCTTGCACCCTGGGCTGCCACTAGAGTGGTGCCTGGCCCCTGTCTCAGCCCTACACTCGTTAGGAAGTTTCCAACTGCTTGGTGCATACTGTACGCTGGTTCAATCTATGTTCAAAATGGCCCCAGAAGCAACAGGAACACTGTAATATTGACCACAGTGGCAGTGACCACTTATTGTGTAGTGGAATCTTGACTGTCAGATTCAGACAGCTTCCAGCGTCTCACTAAATCCTGTGATCTAAAACATCCAAGAGACAAAACTTATCATTTTGTTTTATCTCTATAGATAAGGAGATTGAGTCTCAGAGTGAATGTGGAATGATAAAAATATGTATTTGGCCAAATCACTGGAATTTCCTGAGTATAGGAACAGCTTTGCTTGTTCATAACAATTCCTTTCAACTAGGCCTGAGTACATTAATGAGGTGACTCTTGAGAGGAAAGGTGATTCTAGCCCTAAAGATGTTGGGGAGGTGGCTCAGATTCTCTGGGACATAGGCTCCTGCACTTGGCACCTCGTAAAGACCTTGCCCTGTGCATGTCTTCCACTTGGCTCTTCCTGAGTAGTGTCCTGTATAATAAGCCAGCCACAGTAAGTAAACCATTTTCCTGAGCCCTGTGAGCTCTTTTGAGGAATTATGGAACCTAAAGAGGGAGCTGTGGAAACCTCAATCTCTTTTTTTTTTAATGTTTTTTTTTTTTTTTTTAATTTATGTATTTATTTATTTTGTGTGTGTGTGGCCAGCTCAGCCCACCAGGGGGTGGGGCTGGCTGGCATATGGTGCTGGGGGATTGAACTGCGGTCCCTGCGCTTTGCTGAGCTTGTTCTAAGTCGGTGCTTTAGACCACTGAGCCATCTCACCAGCCCCAACCTCAATCTCTTGATTGGCTACTGTTCTAATTCTTGATCCAGGTGATAGCTATGCCATCTTTATAATTCTTCATTACACCATGTATCTATTTCCACCATTTTTAAGTTTGACAATAAAAGATTGCAGAACAAGAATTAGGAGGTGAGGAACTTAGTAAGTAGTTGGATGCAGGCCTCTTTCTGAGGGAAGTGCAGCTGGCCAGGCTTTGGGCTCTGGTGCCAGCTGAGGAAAGTGGGGGCCACTATGGGGGTGTTAGACATGTCCTGGACACAGCAATGAGAGGAAGGGCATGGAAGGAGAGAGGAATGGGCAGAGGAGGCGGCCTGTGGCACTAAGGTAAATAAACACATGGAACACATCAGTGTGTGAGCTTCAAGCATACAGAAGAAAACAATCACAGAACAAATCCATACATTCATCAGTGCTCCCCAGAAAACAACCTGACATTAAAAGGCTCTCTCTAATTACATCAAATTGTTTGTAGAAAATAAACTTTGCAACATTTTGTCAACAGGTACAAAATACAGACAAGAGGGTAATTTCTAGTTTCCTACTACATGGCAAGAGTTAATAATAATACCATTAATTATTAATGGTAGTTAATAATGAAGTATTTTATATTCCAAGATAACTAGAAGGGCTTATGTAGCCTGCTCGGGGTGATGCACACACCTAAGAGCCGCTCTGTACTTTCAGGTCTGTCTGACTCGATGCCTCTGGTCTCAGTCTTGCTATCAGCCACTTCTCTGTCAAATCAGTCCTACTGCTGGGCTCCATTTGCTCTTAAGCCAAGCCCCTTCTCAACAAGCACTTACTTGGGGGTGTCAGAACCATTGCAACTGGGACCCTGGCGAACAACACAACCGCCTTGTCCTCCCTTGCGCATGTCAGCTGGGGAGGTTCGTGAGGCCTATGTAGGTACCCATCCACTATACTATCAACTGAAGTCACAGCTTTTAAAAGTTTCTTTCAGATAATAAAAACTTTATCCAAAAAATAATGGAAGCATTAAAACTATTCACAAAAACTTAGATAAAATACTTGCAGTTATCTTGAGGTTTTAAACTTTTTATGTTAAGACAAATTAACTTTTCTAGATCAGTAATTCTTTGTTTTTCTCCCCACAAAAGTTTTGCAACCAGTAAGACAACACAGGGAGCATTCTGTCAAGAAGACCCCCTCTCCCAGGTGCCTTCAGTCAATAATGTTCTTATAGGCTTTTCAACTTATTGGTATTTTCAATTCTTCCAGAATCAGTATTTTTGCAAGTGGTTTCATATCTAGACTGGATAATATATAATGTATTAGTTCTATTTTCTTTCACATATTCTGCTAATACCAACACACTAATCTTCTCAGATGATCAAAATCTGGGAAGCAATCTTCAAAAGGGCCAAGAGAATTTTGCTATGATACGTATATCGTTAGTTAAGATTCAAAGTACTCTGTAGTTTTACCCAACCCGATAAATACATTTAAAACCTCATGGTTGAGTTGTAAGAAAATATTTGTCAAAATAAAGAAAAAACAAACACGATGTGGAGAGATTCCAATTTCTCCTACAGCCAAGCAGCACACAGCCCTTTCACAACCAAGTGCTGACTTGTACTCACTGTTAGATTCCAGTTGATCTGGGGAATCCGCATGTGCAGGTTGAGGCTGAACAGGATCAGCAAGACTCCAGTCACCACAAATGCACTGCAGCTTACAAACTCAAAGAAGTAGAGACCTTCGCACGGGAAGCAATTCATGATGGTCTCGATGCAGATGAACGCAATCAGGGCCAGAATCTAGGAAGAAAATTGAAAACACATGTATGTGTATATTTAGTACACATCTGTGGACACATATCCCTGCCATGCTGAAAAGTGAACAGCAATGTGCCGCTGCCCAATTGTCCTCTGGGAATAGGGGCATAACTGTTAGAAATAAGACCTATTTCAACTCATGGGCGGTAACAGGTAAGGGGCCTGAACGAAAGGACCACATTCCCTATGTCAACCGTGAACATTGGTGTGGAGTGGCCCCGTGCCAGCTGCTACTCTTGGACAGGAGGAAGCTGGAGGAACACCTCTGTGGGATTTTAGCCTCTCTGCCCCCATCATTTCCTATATTTCTTACGCCTGTTTTTGCATTATGGTTTTTATCCCAACTATGACAAACACTGAGAAGGCACAATCTTATGCCACCTACAACCTGGACAGTTCATCCTAGAGTCATACAGCCCAACCAGGACTCCAGTGGCTTTCAGAAGGTAACTGGTACAATCCTGTCTTTCCTGACTTAGAAGTCCCTGAAAAGAGGCCTGCATAATTAACTTGAATGCTTGGGAAAGTTTATCACTGGACTTCATCTAAAGGAGATGGACTGGTAGTTTATAAAATAACATTTAAAAATCCATCAACAATAGACTTAGTCTTTCTCCAGTACCTAAGTAACATTCTAAGCAATATGTCCCAAGAGTCTGGAAATCATAACGGCAAACAGATTATCAGTGGAAATTACCAAGTGAACTTTAAAAGGACGAGTTCAGAAGAAGGAAGTGGTGTGAGGCTGAATTAATGGCCCGGTCTTCAAGGGAGGGTCAGGTAGTCTCACGCACTCACAGCCAGATCAGCCCTGGTGCTCCTTGGTCGTGGCTCTGTTCCCAAGTATCTCATAACCACCCTGTCTGCATCAGACCTGTGCTGTCATCTCCAGGCTGGCCTCCACCTCGTAAGGCCAGGGAAGGACACACAGGCAGCTCTGTGCTCCTCCCAGGCCGCAGCACAGCACCTCACGGAGCTGGTAAGAAATGGAGCAGCTCTGCCTCCCTCTTCTCCCTGCAGTCAGAATCTGCGTTCTGACAAGATCCTTCCATGATTAACACTGGAGAGGCAGCCAACACACAGGCCATTGTGGGCTTCTCTCCCAGGATAAAGCATGTATCTCTCTGCACCCTGAGTGTCTGGGGACAGGGCGGGCCACCCCCTCTATTCCTAAGGCACCAAGAACAATAACTTGCACAAGCTGGCCAATGGGGGCCAAGGAGCCACAAAAGCCCCACACCTATCACTCTCGGCAGACAAGTCAGGGTACCTGAAAGGAAGGGTGGTCCTGACTTTCCTACTGTAGTACTTTCCTATTAAGTCAATTCCATTGAAAGTATGGGTCTTGGTTAAAGGATACAAAATGTGAGTTAGGAAGAATTAGTTCAGGAAATCAATTGTGCCATGTGATAATTACAGTTTCTATTATATTTTGAAAATGGCTAAAAAAAAAAAAATAGCTTACATTTCCTCACTAGAAAAAATTAAGCATGGGCCAGCCAGATAGCTCAGCGGATTAAAGCGCCTGCCTAAGCGCCGAGACGGCAACTGAAACTGGGGGTGATGACGTGCTCCTGCAATCCCAGTGCTTGGGAGGCCAAAAACAGGAAGATCACTACAAGTCCCAGCTGTGTAGCAAGACCCTGTAGGCCCTGTACTAAATACATTTTTTTAAAAAAGAAGAAAGAAAAATAAAAAAACGAAGTATGATAATGTGTATGCTCAGCAGCTTGGCTGCGCCATTCACAACATACACATGCGTATTTCAAAACAGAAGTTGTACATAAAAAATACAATTTTTATTTGTCCGCTAGAAAATAAGATATATCTCTCTTAGGTACACATTTTATGCTTTTGCTAGCAACTTGCCTTATAAGTCTCTGCAGAACCACACTTCTCCATCTGAATTACATGCCTAACTCACAATCAATTCACAAAAGAAACAGTTCATATAAGGGAAACTTCTAAACTTTTTTTTTCCCTTTCACCCCTGTAATCGGATCTACTAATCCTGGGCTAGAAATAACACACAGCACTGATGAGTTACAAATGTTTCTGGTATGCTAACTTCAACCATATTTGTGTGGGAAGGTAACACCTACATTCTTAAATATTAAAGTAAAAATGGCCTCAAGAATATGCAAATCTGATAGGCTATTCATTACAAAGTGAACGAAACAGAGAAAACTCCCTGCTTTCTAGCTCAGAGTTCTATGTGTAGGTTTAAAAAATTAAACTAAAAATAAGGTTAGTAACTAGAACAAAGGAGAAAAATTACAAGCAAAGACGGCAGATAAAGCATAATGGAGCCAGGATGTAAAGGCTGGACTTCGGGCCCTGAAAGGCTCAGCTGAGGCAGAGCTGCAGGGAGCAGGGAGGTTGCCTGGAGGAGGGGGCTGTGAGGCAGGAGCAGCAGCAAGGCCCTGGGTTGGGTGGGGCAGGAAAAACCAGGGAAGATGCTAGAAAAAGCTGTGTGCTCAGAGCCTGAGGTGCAGGCAGCTGCAAAGGTGCAGCAGGCTATGGCTCTGTCCATGAGGGAAGCACTAGAGACACATGATCTGATTTAGATTTTCAAAGGGCCATCAGCTACTGCAGGAAAGGAGACATCAGGGAGGCCTCAGGAGTAGGCTGGAGAACTCTCTAATGCTATTTAGAGAGAAGGATGGTGTGGATCAGGGTGGTGACAGCGCAGATGGTGAGAGGTGTTGAAGGCAAAATCCACAGAATTTGTTGGCAGACGATGGATGTCAAAGGTAGAGGGAGGCAAGCATGATTCTCAGGCTTCTACCTGAGTAAACGGAAGCACAGCACTGTGCTGCCACACTGGTGGGCGGAAGCTGATAGGGAAAGAGGTTATAGACCGGGATCAGGAGATCATGTGGGCCACCCTAAGGCTGAAATGGCTATGAGCTTCACATGAGGTTGGTGGTTAGACAAGTGCCTCTTGAGCTCCGAGGGTGGGATAGAAATGTAGTAGGAGTCATGAGATAGGATAGGACACACCTAGGGTTGTACAGACAGAAAGTGGAGAGTTAAGGGCTAATCTTGGAGCACTGCATCATGTCTAGGAGAGAAAGAACCAGACACCTGAAACTGAAATTTCAGTTTGCCAGCTACCAACTAGGTATGGGAATCAGTCTCTGAGAGGGTCCCAATCATCCATCCTTCTAGGGGACTCTTATCCTTGTGACACAGTGAATATGGCTGATCTGTTAGTGTGCAGAAATAGCATCACAGGCTAAGACAGAAAAGCCACTGTGGTTTCCACCTTGCTCTCTGTCTCTAGGATCACTGGCTCTGGGAGAAATGACACACACCAGTCCTAGGGAGAGGCCCAGCTGCCAAGAAAGAAAAGCTTACTACCAATAAATACAAATGAGCCACCTTGGAAGTGGGTCCTCCGCCCGGCCTGGGTGAGCCTGAGAGGACACAGCCCCAGGCAACAGCCTGACTGGAGCCGTGTGAGAACCAGAGCAAAGTCACTCTAGGATTCCAGACCCCAGAAACTGAAGCTTGTTGTTTCCAGCCACGAAGTTTTGGGGTAATTAGTTATGCAGCAGTAGAGAATACAGCAGAGGGGGACTTCACTTATATTATAGTTGTGAACATTAGTAACAAGTAGCTATTGCTAACTGATCACCCACGAAGCAAACGCCACACAGACATTTGTCATTCCTTACCAGACACAAGCCTGTGAGGCAGACATCAGCTCCATCTTACAAACAGGAGAACAGAGGCCCTGTGATGTAGACACGAAGCAGGAGGCTGTGCCAGGATTCTGATCCTCAGCTGCTCTAGTCTTTACTGCCCCACCAGACTGCTTCCCTACTGGTTCCTAATCCAGAAAATAACATTTTCACGTGCTGCAAATGGTAATCATGCTAAAAATAAAATATAAAAATATACAAAAAGGTGTCTATAAATAACTTGTATACAAAACAAGTTATGCCTATACATGTACATATAGTTTTTAAACCATAAAACTGTTTAAAGCATCTCATTTTCTCTTTTTCTTCTAAATAGCACCCATCTGCATTTCCACATAAATAGAACCATATATGTTCTTTTTAATGATTATATAGTGTTTGCATGTAAAGAGATATAAATATGCATACCTACACACATACCACAGTTTAATCAACTCCTCTGATAGGTATTCAGATGGTTTCCAATATTCTGTCACTACAAGCATGACATCTGGCAGAGCAAAACTGCCAACACATCTCCGACACAGTGAAATCTATTAATCACTGCTGAACTAAACTATCAAACAATTACAAAAAAGACTCAGCCAGAGTTATACTGGTAGGCAACCGCTTCAAGACAATCAAAGAATTAAATAATTCAATTTATAGCAACTTTGCAGCAGGGGAAAACTGCACAGAAAAGTTCCAGGCGTAAACAAGGCCAAGCCATGGTATGCACTAATCAGGCCACAGATGCCCTTGCAGAGCCCTTTCCAAGAAGTATCTACCAGTTAATCCAGAGTATTTTCATAGTAGATAAGTAAATTGATATTGTGAAGTTGCCACACAAAACTTCCAACACTCTAAAACAGCCTGAAGAAACAAGTATTCTGGTGACAAGTTCCTATACATATTCAACAATAAGTCAATGTACATTGTAGAACTTTTCCTCCCCACAGTTCTGGGAACTGAACTCTACCACTAAGCTATATCTATATCAATGTCTGTCTGTCTATCTATCTACAGCCCCTTAGAAGAGAATACTGACTATTCTTATGTAATATACCTAACAGGTTGATTTTGGATACTTTTTCAAAATGGCTGATCATTTTGAAATTCAAATACAAAAAATAAATAAATAAAACAAAATTTAGGGGCTAGGGGGATAGCTCAGTAGAATAAGTGCTTGCTGGCAAGCACAAGAGCCTGAGTTCAATCCCTGGTTCTGCCAAAAGAAAGAAAGAAAGAAAGAGAGAGAGAGAGAGAGAGAGAGAGAGAGAGAGAGAGAGAGAGAGA